AAAAAATCTCAGATAGGTAGGGCAGCTTTGACAGCTACCTATTGAATTTATTATATACATAAAAGCAAATTTCACATAATTAAGATTCTTAGTTTTTCATGCAAAAAAGTTACAAAGAATATCACATATTCACTGTTATTTTCAAAGTTTTCCTACTTTTCTGTGTTTCCTTCTGTACTTCCTTCTGTTCTCTTCAGTGCATTTTTAAACATTCCCTCTTGGATCTTTCTCATTTCATAGGCTCCATTTGGAAGTGAGCCACTTTCAGTTATATTTGGTAAATCCAGTGCTCATTGAAGTAAACGATATCTGGTTTTTTGATTTTTTTAAGCTGTTTGTTATGTGCTCTGAGAATGTCTATCAAGATTCTCTCCCCTATCAGAACACTAATGCATTATTGGTGGAGTTGTGAAGTGATCCAGCCATTTTGGAGAGTAATTTGGAACTATGCCCAAAAGGCTATCTGATATAGGCTCTACTTGTACAAAGGCTATAAAATTGTGCATACCTTTTGACCCAGCAATACCACCTCTAGGGCTGTATCCCAAAGGGATCATAACAATGGGAAAAGGACCCACATGTACAAAAATATTTATAGCAGCTCTTTTTGTGGTGACAAAGAACTGGAAATTGAGGGGATGCCCATCAACTGGGGAATGACTGAACAGGTTGTGATATAGGAGTGTAATAAAATACTATTGTTCCATAAGAAATGATGAGCAGGCAGACTTCAGAAAAACCTGGAAAGACTTACATGAACTGATGCTGAGTGAAGTGAGTAGAACCAGGAGAACATTGTACACAGTAACAGCAACATTGTGCAATGATCAACTCTGATACACTTAGGTCTTCTCAGCAATACAAGGATCTAAGATCATTCCAAAAGGCTTATAATGGAAAATGCTATCTACATCCAAAGAAAGAACTGTGGAATCTAAATACAGATTGAANCATTCCAAAAGACGTATAATGGAAAATGCTATCTACATCCAAAGAAAGAACTGTGGAGTCTAAATACAGATTGAAGCACATTAGTATCTCTTGTGTGTGTGTGTGTGTGTGTGTGTGTGTGTTTCTTCTTTCTTGTGGTCTTTCCGTTGGTTCTAATTCTTTTTTAAACATGACTAATGTGGAAATATGTTTAATATGATTGGACAAGTAGAGCCAATATCAGATTGTACACCGTCTTGGGGACAGGAGAGCGGAGGGAGGGGGAGAAAACTTAGAACTCAAAATCTTATAGAAGTGAATGCTG